ATCAGTAAAACTCTGACACTCCCTTCCGCCTCACCCAGGCGGGAGCAGTCATTCGATAATTTTCCCCCCTTAAAAAAATTTCTCATATCGGTGCCTTCAAGCGGTTAATGCCTTTTAGGAAAAACACCATGCTGTAACTCATAGGAAAAACTGCGAGAGTTCATTCTGAGCTACCCATCCTAGCCATAAAATTTCTTAGTATCTATTCATCTATTTAAGTACCATTTTTTTCTTATCGCAGCCGTAGGTATAATTTATCACCATGGAAATATATTATAAATTTAGCGACAAATACTAAATTAGTTAATTATTGTGTTTTTCGGCTTACTCACGTAATTATTTGACTAGGAACTCGTCTAATTTCAAGGCATGCTTGAGGCTCATATTCATGAGCAGCATTCAGCGACACACGACACGACGACTGTCGCGCTTCTGCATTACGTGAATAAGTCGAAAAATATAATAGGTAATTAATTCACTGAAATAGTAATCAATCTATGACTGCACGGTTGGTGCGGTGGCTGGGCAACCGGCTGCCGTGCAACGTGTCGCGGGTTCGATTCCCGCACGGAACAACACTTTGTGTGATCCACAGATTGTTGTTCCGGGTCTGGGTGTCATGTGTATGTGAACTTGTATGTTTGTAAACGCACCCACGACACAGGAGAAAATCCTAGTGTGGGGCAACGTATTTTAAAAAAAAAAAAAAAAAAAAAAAAATCTTGTACGAATAGCAATATAAAAGTTTTCTATCTTTAATTAGTTTTTATAACATACGGATCCTAATTTTTTTTTCGATAAATAAGCAGACGGATCCTCTTTTGGTAAGCAACTGGCTGGCGCCGCACATGACCAGCCGAAGCACCAAAGGTTTTCCAAGTGCGATACCGGCCTTCTAAGGATTAGGAATAAGCAAAAGATGTTTCAAATCGATCTATTACCTAGTTCCGGAATGGTAATAAACTAAACAAAACCTATATTCTTTTCTCAAGTACATACTACCTAAAATGATAATGAAATATCGAATTTAAGAAGTCATTTCACTTTAGAAGATACTTTTGAAAGTTGATAATTCAAGCAATAGGTGCCTACCAAATATGTAATAGGTTTTATAATATGTATGTCGACAATCTTTTTTTATATGACAAGCCGGTTAACGAGCTGACGTATCACCTAATGGTGAACAATCGGCGCCGCCCATGGTCACCTGGAACACCAGAGGCGTTACAAGTGCGTGCGGAATTGAGAATTTGAGTATTGTGGGGGATTCGGGGATTGGGAAGATTGGGGATGGGGAGTAATTGGGTCTCCGGTAACCTCACTCACACGACGAAACACAACGCAAGCATTGTTTCACGTCGGTTTTCTGCTCGGCTGTGGTATTGCCGCAGCATGACTCGTCTCCTACACTTCTACACTGTATTCGACAGGAAAACAGTCGCTTGTGTCTAATATTATTCATTAATTCTGTATTAAGCTTAGTGTCATACTTAACCAGATTACATCGATCTCAACCAAACTGAAACAAATACTTAGGTAGGTACCTAACGTACAAATCCTTTTAATAGGTATTACCTAAAAGGATTTTCAAATCTCCGTGCACTTGGAAACCCACCTTTGTAGGCATAGTATCGTGTAAGGCACATAAAATTGTACCTATATGAGCAGATACTACCTACATAGTGCTGCAGTGGCGTAGTGTATCTTGGCGGGGCCCCGTATAAAAAACTGTTTGGGGGCCCTTATGAAAGGTAAATATTTCTCAGAAGACATTTTCTTTTACATAATATATTTCTCCCTCTGCCCAAATCATCGGACAATGATTACTTTAGTTTTTCCAAAGTTTCTGCCATGGAATAGATTTCTCTATAATACATATAGTTTTCTCTATTCCATGGTTTCTGCCAACCTTTAAACGCATGCATTTTGTGATTACTGAAATAAAATATAAATTGAGAAGTTTTTATATTTTTTGCTAACACACGTTGGGGGCCCCGTAGTCCGGGGGCCTCATATAATTGATACGGCAGATACGGCGCTAGCTACGCTGTAGTGCTGTCTATTGATGGGTACCTATTGTCAGTTTCATGTAAAATGCCTATTATTTATGTACCTACAATTAAATCAAGTCTTTATACGTATAAATTGTATAACTATTGTCGTCTAATTTACTTTTTTTATGGGATAATTCGGTAAACGAGCTGACGGATCACCTGATAGGTAGACGTCCATGGGCGACGCCGTTTGCGTCGCCCATCGACACCGGGAACACTAAAAGCGTTCCAAGTGCGTTACCGACCTTTTTGGATTAGGAGTTTGAGGATTGTTGGGGATTGGGCCTCTGGTAACCTCACTCACCCAACGACACACAAAGCAAACGTTGCTTCACGTCGGTTTTCTGCTCGGCCGTGGTGTCACTACGGTCGAGCCGGCCCATTCGTGCCGAAGCATGGCTCTCCCACACTTAATTATCTCTAAATAACAACTTTCTTTCGACTGACAAACAATAAGTAAAATAGAGATTAATATAAATATCACAGGTAATCTACCTCAATTAATCAGACTAAGAGTTTCACATTATCATCGAGTTTCATATTTTGTTAGTACCTAAATGATATACAGACACATACCGTACACACACACACAGACACAGACAGTACCTAAATGATATAAAGATAAAACTAGGTACCTACCTCCATCTGGCCGCACTAAATCGCAAATTTTTGTGCTTCTGTTGCATCACTAAATAGTGAGAAAAAGAGTGCAGAAGAAAAAGTCGTACATGTATCTCATACAAACTAACAAATCATAAAATATTAATTACAAAATGCGACTTCAAATCGCAACAAAGTACACACATAATACCTAGGCAACGCCATGACTGACCATGCAAAAAACTGTAACTATGCGTGTTGCTAACACTAATTATGTAGGCGCGCCGTGTAAGTCAGTAATTAGCAATATACTTAGTAATTACGTGGTTGAGACCACCTGTTACACCATGTTAGCGTCCCATAGGACGATAGGTTAGCCAAGGGTACTTTTTTACCTAATTAAACAGTGTTTTTGCACTACTTTTTATGCAATTTTTAATAGTTATAACGTGGTCTTTTTTGCGTGGGCTGGCTTGAACGTTGAAGTACTTATTATGTTTTTATTTTATGTATTGTTTCTGTGTTTGCATTGAATACGTTTTTTTATATTTGTAATCTTACTGTACGAATAGTTATTCTCTTCTATCTTCTTGTTAATATTAATTCCATCATAATGTATTGTAGGTACTAAGAAATTAATAGATTTTTTTAGTAAATTTGCAGTTTGTTGCTCGTTCGTTCGTTGATATTCCAAGAATATGAACTACGGGAGTAAATAACTTCACTTATAAAAAGAACAGGCTCACTCACATACTATAATAGCATGTTTAGTGTCTCAAAAGGTCGCGGAGAACCTAACGGGTAACCGGGGCTCCGGCTCGACTTGCAGGAGAAGGAACGGGGTGGTTTTTAGTCAGTAAGAGTCTGACACTCCCTCCCGCCTCACCCAGGCGGGAGCAGTCATTCGATGATTTTCCCCCTTTAAAAAAAAAGTGTCTCAAAAGGGTTTACGGTTACGAAAATACCAAATTGTTGAATTTAATGTCTAAATTGCTTATGTTCATTTTCTTTATTGGATAGATAGCATAGCTAAAAGGCCAAAGGTCAGACTGGGAGAAAATGCATGCGTCCTTTAGTCCACCTAATGTATAGTGTGCGTTTTGTGCATGAAGCATTTAAATAAATACCTACTCATTTCAAGTGAAATAATCTTATTATTTATTGAATTTAAATGATATTAAAGATTTTTATTCAGGTTGGAAAATCATCGAATGACTTCTCCCGCTTGGATGAGGCTGGAGGGAGTGTCAGACTGTTACTGACTAAAAACCACCCCGTTCCTTCTCCTGCACGTCGAGCTGGAGCCCCGGTAACCTGTTAGGTTCTTTGCGACGTGATATTAAAGCTTGAGGTTAGATTTTCACAAACATTTCACCCAAACGACTGCCTTGATTCTTTCACAACCTAATCAGGTTATTTGGTCTAATTTCTGTTAATCTTTGACTATTTCATCATTATACCGGCCCCAAGACGTCCACTAGGTCCTCGTCTCACATAGGCCTGCTCAATGACTCCTTACTACTGTAATATTTATAGGAGTTTTTAATAAAACTTCCACTGCATATGTTCTCACTCTGTATTTTATCAATTATCCCTCTCAACGTCCATTCACCTTTTTCTCGACTCCCAAAATTGCCGCCATAAATCTCCGCTTTCCCGCGTCTCCCCAAAAACCAATAATCCTCCTTTTTTTCTTTTTCGTGTTGCCAGGTTAAAAGTGTTACCCGATTCAATTCTTCAGTTTTTTTTTAATTAAAAATATATCATTTTTAGGAATAAATAAAATAACCTTACACTACCTTTATATGGTCGTCTGTCCACCTTGGAGTTGAGACTATCTACGTCTAAACGTTATACGTAATTATAAAACTTAAAATCCAACCTAAAGGATGCCTACTGCCATCAGGCCACCACGGATGGGGTCCAATAGGGCTGATGCCGATACGGAGCCGTGGAGAACCTAACAGGTTACCGGGGCTCCGGCTCGAAGTGCAGAAGTAGGGACGGGGTGGTTTTTAGTCAGTAAGACTCTGACACTCCCTCCCGTTTTACCCCAGGCGGAAGCAGTTATTCGATGACTTTCCCCCCTTAATAAAAATAAAAATTGATGTCTACAACCTCTTAACTACCTACTACATAATATTTGTGACGCGAATTCGTCGTTTCGATTCGGGTAGACACGATGTTTTTTTGTTTCGTAGTAGGTATACCTACGTATGACGATTATTTATAGGTACCTTATCATAAATAAGAGTTAATCAAAATCAGAAATAGGTACCTATAAATATGTAAATTAAATAATTAAGAAGATAGTAATATTTTGTTTTGCCGCCGAGATAGACGACTCATTTAAATTCTCGAGTCGTGTTTGTGGTCGGATTTTTGACATCTATATTTTTCATGTTAAGTTAAACACAGGAAAATCAGTAACACAGATTATAAAAATCAAATACTTATATTTTAAAAACATTAATAATAATTTAGTTTAAATAATCAACAAATAAAATGTCATTTTAATTGAATATCTTCAAGCTTTCATAGCTGGTTTCATTTTGGGTTTTTTTATTATGGATCCAACGCTTTTTCTCTTCATCAAGCTCTTTTTCTTAACTGGAGTCTGTTTTTCTTTTGTCTTTTTTACTTTTTTCACTTTAACTTCTTTCTCAACTCCATCTTTTGCCTTTGGTTTTATTTTCTTTTCTTTCTCCATTACTTTCTTCGGTTTTATCACTTTTTCTTTGTCTACCTTCGAACTAGTCATCTTCTTTGCCCCGTTTTCAACAATCTTTTTCGTTTTTTCTTTAATTTTCTTCATTTTGTCCGAATCTTTTTCTTTTGTCGGTTTTTCTTTGGATTTGTCTTTTGGTTTCTTGTCTGTTTTTGGTTTTTTCTTGATTGGGACTAGTTTGAAAGATCCGGAGGCGCCGATTCCTTTCGTTTGTACGATGCTTCCATTCTCGACAGCAGTTTTTATATATTTCTTGATAAAATAGTTTAGTTTGTCAGTATCAACGCTATATTTCTCAGTTATATACTTTTTGATGGCATACAACGATACACCTTTACGTGAATTAAGATCAATAAGAGCTTGATTAATCATTTCCTTCGTTGATAATTTCTTTTCTTGCTTTTTTTGAAGTAATTCTTCGGAAGGACTTTTCGGCATTTTCTTATTGTTTACTTTCGGTAATTTTGATTGTAACTCAATATCAGATTCTTCCTCTGACGCCATATTGTTGTGTTTTGTTGCAGAAAAGTTCAAAACAACGGTTTTCGGTCGGGAAAAATTTAAATAGTCGCTTAAGTTGCTGTACATTTCTTTGCGTTTACGTAAGTTCAAACTTTACCTTAACGAGACCAATATAATTTATTGGATAAAGATTGAAATAATTATCAAAATATGTAGGTGACACGAAATATTTGGTTCGTTTGTGAGTATAAAAGGATCAAATGCGTTGTTAGTCGCTCAGTTCCGGCTCGAGCGCGGTTCATAGCGGCGGCAACCACTAAACACAACACCACATCGGGCTCTGCAAGAGGCTATTATCTTGCTATCTACTCCATGACTCCAACCCCGCGTCTACTGTTGCAGGCAGCGACAGAACCACCAAGACACGCACCGGCCTGCATCACGCGTCATCACGCTCCCAGTCGGGGACGGTGAGATGACCACGACGTCGTCGCAGTCGCTCAGTAGCGATTTGTGAAGCGTGGAGACTTGTGGAGCGTCGACTTCATACAGTGGCGTAACTACACCGTTCGATGTCCGTGGCAAATTTATCTGGTGTCCTTGCCTTCCTAATATAATAAGGTTCAGTAAGAACGTTTGAACGGGTCTCGTTCCTGCTGGCACGTATCATTTCGTCGACTTGCCACCCTGTAGTTACGGCACTGACTACCTACATAATGATTTTTATAAATGATCATATACCCATACCTACTTTAGAAATGAACGTGGATGTATTACTGTGAGGATAGGATAGAATAACATCACATCAACAGCCGGTAAGTAGCCACTGTTGACCAAAGGCCTCTTCTCACACGTAGAAGGTTTAAGCATTAATCACCACGCTTGCTCAATGCGGGTTGGCGATTTCAAACTTATAATTAGAAATTATACGCTCAGGATTCCTCACGATGTTTTCCTTCACCGTTTGTTAGTGGTGTCTAGATAATCTTAGAAAGTACAAATAACTTAGAAAAAGTCACATTAGTCCATGCCATTGGTAGGTTTCTAACCCGCAACCTCATGCATGAGAAGCGGGCGTCTTAAACCTCCGGGCCAACGACAAAAATAATTATAATAGAATAATTATATATTTGCTCAGAATGCAGGTATTTACAATAAAAAAGGTGATATTAAAACACAAATAAGGTATCCTTGTACTGTACATTCTACCATGCAAACATTGATGCAGGTTCATCGTAAGACATATTATGACACAGTTACAATTTATCAGCTAAATAAATAAATAAATAATAAATAAATAAATCTTTATTCATAATAACAATGGCCAACATAGGTAAAAAAAATATCTTAGTTAAGCGACAAGATCTTAAAAAGTAATATGCCTGTACTAGGAATATTCCTGTGTCACAGGCGACAGGAGCTCTAAAATTATGTTAACGATGAGACAAGTTATTTATAGTTTAAACAAAATATTTAACACAATTTTCAGTAGTAAGTTAGGATTGTTTTTAAATATACTATATATATATATACATCACACCTTTTATTATTCCCTGAAGGGGAATAAAATGTTGTACCTACATAAGTTATTTATTAATAATAATCAGTAACATATACACTTAAATAAACCACGTAAGCTATATTGAGAACTATATAAAATTACACGCTATGCTGTCAAGTATTTTGAAGCGGCTGCAGAAACACAAAAAACTGGGTCAGAGTCCATCTGGTCACTCACTTGTTGTCACAGTTCGATCAATTGTACTTGCACAGCAATAAATTGATGAGTAGACCAACCTGTTAATTATGCAATTTTTGTACAAGAATTGACTAATCAAATCTGACTTAGAGTATGCCACTTTATGTGCCTTCATAGTCGATGGAATTAATATATCTTTGCTCAGCTATCTTCCTGGCTGGGCACTCTGCGTCTCCTGTCCTGTGACTGTTAGGCTTGTTAAAGCGAGAGCATGTTGAACATTTAGGGAAATCTATTTTCTTAGTGCAAACGGATGTAATGTGTCCTACTTCTCCACAATGGCCACACACTGTGTTGAGGTCCCGGCATGTCTTTGCCGCGTGGCCATACTGCTGACATTTATAGCAACGCGTTACTAACGTAAAGTCTCTGACAGGGCAAGACGTCCAGTTTATATATAGTCTCTCTTGCGATATAAGGTATGCGATATAAATAATCAGACACAAGAATGCTGTAAGCTATAAATATAGTATGTAGTTAGTATAAGTATATTTTTAAAAATTATCATTGGTTCTAGTTGTAGTGAGATGCCTAGGTAAGTTTGTTAATTTCTTAGCCCGAAGACATTCTCTGCCGGACAGTCCCTGAATCCCCAACGATCCTCAAACTCCTAATCCCCAAAAGGTCGGTAACGCACTTGTAACGCCTCTGGTGTTCCAGGTGTCCATGGGCGACGCCGATTGCTTACAATCAGGTGATCCGTCTGCTCGTTTACCGGCTGATACGTTCAGCAGGCCTCCTCCAAGAGAAGACATTTTATTAATTTGTCTTTAAATATTTCTTGTTTCGGTATAGTTACATGAGATATCATCATCATACATCACGCCTTTTATCCCCAAAGGGGGAGGCAGAGGTGCACATTATGCCACTGTATAATGTAACACCCATTTTTCACTATTTATGTTACGAGTCCCATGTAATAGGGGGTGAGCCTATTGCCATATACCGGGCACAATTCCAGACTCCGTGCTACTATTGATACTATTGATACAGTAGTAGATAGGTACTTTGCCCGGCCCGGCAGTCGCACTTGCGACCACTCGACCAGTCCTACTGTCCCATAATAAGTATTTTAAATGCGGACGTCTGTATGTTTATCACTCCTTCTCGTCAAAATGGCTGAAATGATCAGGATAGAATTTGGACCAGGGGTATACTATGATCTGGACTAACATGAAAGCTAAGAAAGTCGAGCTAAGGAAGTCTTTATGCCACAGGTACGTGAGTGAAGCCGCTGGCAGGAGCTATCACACTTCACACTAATACATACATATTATAAATGTAAAACTTTTTTTATGTTTGTCCGCCAATAACGCCGAAACTACTGAACGGATTTTGATAAAATTTGGTATATAGTACTGGCAGCGTATTTTTTTTAAGGGGACAAAATCATAGAATTACTGCTCCCGCCTGGGTGAGGCGGGAGGGAGTGTCAAACTCTTACTGACTAAAAACCACCCCGTTCCTTCTCCTGCACGTCGAGCCGGAGCCCCGGTTACCCGTTAGGTTCTCAGGGTATGGGCTGACTTAGATGATAGGATAATTTTCATCTCGATTAAATGCTCCCATGGGATAAAGCAGGACGAAGTCGCCGGCAACACCTGATTATAAAACTTGCAGCTGTAGCCAAACGCCACTTTAGCGCTTGTCTACAGAGAGAGTAGAAATCAAAATGTATGGGGATGACACTGATACTTAAGTGTCAAAATTTACTTCGATTCCATATAATTTGGTTTTGTATTCTACATGTAGACAAGCGCTAAATGGCATTTGGCTACAGCTGCTGACCAGACTGCTAAACTTCATTAAACTGTCAAACACCAAGCGGTCACCGGTGACCGCAACCTATTGTTCTATAATTGTGTCTATAATGACGGTACTCGACGAGTTAAATTGTTTTTACTAAAAGGAAAAATCTTTTTCAAAGGTGTTGTGTTGCAACGAAGTGATATCGCATTGGTTGATATAAAACTTGTTTTAATTAATTGGTTATTTGACAACTAGTCGAATTCAATACTTTTTTTCGAACTGTCAAAACCGACAGTTTTCTATGAACTTTGTACGAGATTGTGTATTGTGACGTCACGTTTTTTTAGCGTCAAACCGCGTACTTATTTATTAATAAATTGCTGGAAAAATACTAAAATTAAGTTGGTCATAAAATCAATTAATGAAAGTATGATTATTTTTTAATATTTCATTGTGTTGAACAGTCGAAATAATTTATTTTTCATTACGGCAAGCACCCAGTTAACTGATTAATATAATTACCATTTAGTACGAAAAAAGAAATGAATATACTAGAACCTTTTTTCTCATATTTACGTAAAAAAAATAAAAAATGCATTTTATTTTCTTCCCCTCCCTTTGATGGGGCGGTCACACATAGATGAACACTTGAATCACATTATCTATAGAGTATAGGGGAGGTAGGGGACTAACGGACACACAACTATAATTTGATATAAAAAGATTTTTTTCATAGGTACGTGTATCGTGACATTGAATGCCAAAGGGTGAGATCGGGGACGAATGGACACAAGAGTTTTTTTTTCGTATTGTTTTTTTGTGCTGTGTAAAAAATCGTACGTTTCTTTTTATTATTTAAAATATTTAAGTAATATTTAAGTATGAAAAACTAATATTATTTGTACCTATACAAAATATATTTATGAAAAAGAATATCATTTAAAATACATTGTAGGTTCAAATCATTAGAAACAGTCATAAAAAAATTAGGTCTATACCGCAAAAGAATTAAATGACAATAATAATTTTAATGCCACAGATAATAAAATGAGCCTAGTCATCGTAGGTAATATGAGACCTCGTCGTGTCAGAGAAAAAAAAAATGCAAACTGATAAAATCCTATGTCATATGCATTATTAGATATATTCAGAATTCTTATTAAATAATAATTTCACACAGTCTTTAGACTTCATGGCTGTAAAAATTTCGCCAAGTCGTTGCAAATTTTTGACCATTTTCTTGCTTCTAGGCGTAAATGAATCGGCTTGAAAATCTAACGAATTTGTTATAGTTTCGTATAATACTTGCATGTTCTTTTATCATAATTATATTGGCATATAACATAGTCATTTGTGTTCAAAATTAACATATATTTAAACGAGTCTTTCACTGTTTTCCGACGGCAAATTAGAATGGATTCGCTCAACCAAAAACCGGATTATTTTCGAAGTAAATAAAACACATAGCTTACAATGTCAAACATATATTTAAATATAAAACCACAGAGGCATTATAAATAAATACTTTTACGATGCAACGCTAAACATAAAGTCAGCAAATAGGCCCAAATCATGTGAATAATTCATACCATCAGCCATTCTATTCGGATGACATCACTGCATCAAGACGACCAACTTGCGACCGGATTATCAACCTTAACCACTTTTAATAAAGCCGATTATAAATCGATTACTGGTCAAAAGTAATTTCTTAAGTCGCCTTTCCGTTTGAAGTCGAAAAAAATTACTTAGTCCGTCTCACTCTTGCTCATGACTAATCTACGTAAGCATGAGTGAGACATACGCATATTTGTTCAGTTTACCCGTCTCGTAGAGAGGATATTGGGGTCATGGAACGTGTTTGAATTTCGAAACACGTCCCGTCCAATACCGTGCGTTGTTATTCACTGTTTTATCATTGGTTAGGCGGCCCCCGTACCACAAAGTCGGGCCTTTTGTAAAATCGATGCCGCGCAGTACTGGAAGTATCGCTTTCCTGTCGCGAGCCGCTGTCGCTGCGGGTTTTGTAGTAGATCGGCTATACACTGTGACCGTATCTTTTATGTTATTCGTGCAGCCATTTCGTTTCGAAAGATGTCCGGAGTGAGTTTAATCGTGACGTTTTGATACGTTTTCTATAGTTTTTTGACGTTTAAGAAGACACCATCGCTGTGGATCTGTTACAGTAAGTGGAGTGCACATTATTTCATATAGATGTCAATATAGAATCGCGTTTGAGTCCGTATTTTGGTCAAAAAACGTCAAAAATTCCAATTTTAGTAGCAGTACTGTGTTGTAACACTGAAATAACTTCGAATTTCGAGCGTGACGTCACGGCCATTTGAAATACGAATTCAATTACTGATTCCGTTAGTTTTTTAATCGATTTGCTATAGTGGGATAGTGTATTTTTGGTGTTTTACCGTGTTTCTGTGGATTTTGTGTGAAATATCGATTTTTAGTGTCGTGTTCTTGTTTGTTTACATACATTTTGGCGTGGATACAGTGTCTGTCACATCATTAGAGTATGTAAGATGGCTTCAAATGACAATTTGCGCTGAGTTAACAATAACACAGTTTCTTATTACTTCACATTAAAGCCTAAAATGCTGTTACTGCATATTTTGATTGGATATTATGTTGTGTCCCTTTCTCGCGGTGTTTGTTATTGTGTTTGCATCTCTTTCTGGCATGAGCGACTTTATTTATAGAGAACTCGGCGTGTTTGGCGTTCCCCTGTGGCGCCCTACATTAATATTAGTGTTGTAATTTTCACGTGTTTTTTATCGATATATTTTGTTGTCGATAATTTTGTGGTATTTATATGGCTTTTGTGAATTCATGTGCATATTATGTGTATTAGATTTTATTATTACACATACCTACGTCATTTCTTTAATTAATTTTGATATTTGGTTTATTTTAATCTAAAATTAGAAATATTTTTTTTTTTAATATTTATTTCAAATTGAAAGTATATTTTTAAGTTACCTTTCGTATTTCTTTTCTTTGCCACTTTATGAAATTAGGCTATCTGTCATGGGATTTTTGCAAAGCGACTAATATTTTTGAAAATACCCATCTAGATATTTTGTAATAAATTAAACGCAATAATTGCATTATAGCAGTAAAGAATGAATGCACCAGCCATTTAAAAACATTTCTATAATTTTATATTTTTAAACTGCAAATCTATTAATATTAATTCATTCTGAGTTCACCTGTGGAATTTAGGCTCTTAGGAAAATAAACCACCGTCACTCTTCACCTGGGTATGAATTTAGATTTCTCAAGAATTATGCTAAAGAGACATTTGTGAACGAGTAAAATTATTCTCTGATTGATAAAATGACTTCTCAATAGATTTATCTACGACTACCTATCTTCGATGGTATTTGACATAATATTTTAAATTGTTTATTTAATTAAATTAATAGGCATATCTAGCTACCTTTCCTGTAAAACTCTATGAAGTAGTAAATTAAAATGTCATCTATTACTGCTTTTAGTAAACGTTTCAGTGAAATTACAAATTCTACTTTCTTTTATCCTTATGTCAAAACTAAGTTAGGAGTGAAAAATATAGCAACACGGTTATTTATGTTTATATAATTAATTTTTGAGGACTTTAACAAACTAAGGTCACATTATTTTTGCTTCGAAGTCGCAATTAATATCAAGATTGTTACATCAAGATTTCTCAAAAGTGTATTTCATTATTATTTTATCTAACAGAAATATAGATTTTGAAACCAAATCGTAAAATGTTTCTGAAAAATTATTTCACTTCAATAAAAACTATCTAAACATTTTTACTAAATTCATTACTTTAAAAATAAACATGAAAAAAAAAGTTCGATAAAAAATACCACGGAAAAAATCTATCGATCGCAACCACATCACTATCTTCAAGATAAAAAAAATAAAATGTCTGCCGCCATCCGCTGCACAGGGATTATTATTACTCCCGTCCCTTATATACATAATAAACCTTATTTACTAAGTACTAGAGTCCATATTCTATTGGTGTACATGAATAGCCTTTGTGAACGAAGGGATTTTGGCTTGCCAAAGGATTTTGAACCTTATAGTAAAAGAATAGAGTTGAAAATATTGGATATGGAGTAATAATAAGAACAAATAATACGTTTCCATTGAATTGTTGAATGGTGATTTACGAGGGGGCTAAAGATGGTGGTCGCGAAGCAAGTTGGAGCGCTTGTGTGTTCATTTCTCCGAAACGGCTTCATCGTTTTTGATGGTTAAGCTGTTTGATAGCGTTTTTTCGAGTTATAAGTTAATGTGTAGTCATTTTATGTATGATGCTGCGTTAATTAGAATTTTTGTTTTTTTTTCTGGCTGTGGTTAGGGATAGGCCTAAATTCGATCGTAAATGTGTTGTTGTAGGTACTTAGAACTGTCATGGAACACGTGGTCTTAGACATTTTCGAGTTGTCGCGGAGAACCTAACGGGTAACCTGGGCTCCGGCTCGACGTGCAGGAGAAGGAACGGGGTGGTTTTTAGTCAGTATGAGTCTGACACTCCCTTCCGCCTCACCCAGGCGGGAGCAGTCATTCGATGATTTTCCCCCCTTAAAAAAAAAAAAGACATTTTCGAGTCAACCCAATAGGCAATATTGATTTTATGTCAAATGTATAAATTTCATTATTGTGTAAGAAGAAATATTAATATTTTTTTAAAAATTTTCACTCAAAACCCGCTTTGTGACAATAGACTCAACCCCTATTAAAATATGGCTGATTATTGTATACATTACTAGCCTTCCAGATTTTTTAGTCTGGAATTGCCGAGCCCGATGCATGCTATTAGGCTCATAATATTAAGTAATCACTTTATAATAAGGGGTTATTATAAAGTGATTACATAATAGAACCGACGAAATTTTTTAGGTAGGTACTCTTCTGCTTACCCCTCTAAAAATAACACTGTTGTCTATACATACATATAATAAAATTATAGAAGTGTACATTCTGTACATTAAAAATAAACATAAAAAAATAAATAAATAGTATCTAGGGGGTGTTACTAGATAGACATCGAAACCCAAAAATGTAATTAAAAAAATTTTGTTTGTCTGTTTGTCTGTAGGTATGTTCACGCATCACGCAAAAACTACTGGTCAAATTACGATAAAACTTAGTATGATTACACTTTAATATCCTGGACATAACACTAGGTACTTTTTATCCCGAAAAAGTATCTACACGAAAAAACAAACTTAATTGTGCAGCTCAATCCCTAGACACAGTTACTGTACCAAACGCAAATATAAGTTTGTCGAATGTTAGGTTGCCGGCAGTTGATTTTACGCTGTATCTTTAGGGCCGATGGTTGAAATTAGCTTGAACCGATATTATAATAAATGTGAAAATATGTGTGTACGTTTCTGACTCAGTTACATGAAAACGGATGTAGGGACCGGGATGAAATATGAAACAGAGGTAGATTATACTCCAAACTAATACATAGGTTACTTTTTACCCCTGGGTACGCGAGCGAAGTCGCTTTTTTATACCACGACGGTCACACAGAAAAATCTCACGGCCCACCTCCTGATGGTAAGCGGTTACCGTGGCCTATATACCCCTGCAACACTTGGGGCATTACATGCGTCTTGCCGACCCTTAATAAACCTAACCTCTCGTGTGGGAGAGCCATGCTTCAGCACGAATGGGCCGGCTCGACCGGAATGATACCACGGCCTCACAGAAAACCGACGTGAAGCAACGCTTGCGTTGTGTTTCGTCGTGTGAGTGAGGTTACCGGAGGCCCAATTACCAATTTCAATTTCCCCTTCCCAATTTCCCCTTCCCCAATCTCCCTAATCCCTGAATCCCCAACGATCCTCAAACTCCTAATCCCTAAAAAGCCGGTAACGCACTTGTAACGCCTCTGCTGGTGTCCGTAGGCGACGTCGATTGCTTACCATCAGGTGATCCGTATGCTCGTTTACCGGCTTATGCCATAAAAAAAACCTATTCACTCCCCTCTTGAAGAACTTGGTTAGCTGATATAACATAAAGTTGTAATCATAATAAGAAAATAGGGTACTCGCCGTTAGGTACCCGTCGTAGCAAAAAAAAAACACTATATTATTTAGAACTTTTGCTACTCTTAAGAAGGTCGTCTTAGACAAATACTTTTTTCGCAAATTTTGGGATGTGAATAGATGTTTTTTTTTTTTCATTTAGCATAGAGTCTGTTATGCGAAAAGAAATATAATGGCATTAATATTAATTGCTACTCTTTTGTTGCAAACTTAAGCAACATGTGGTACTTTGGCCCATTTTACTCTTTTAAACTGTCAAACACCAAGCGGTCACCGGTGACCGCAACCTATTGTTCTATAATTGTGTCTATATTGACGGTGCTCGACGAGTTAAAAGACTTTTTTCGAAATAAAACCTTTGGACCTGTGTATTATGACCCAAAACTTCGATCATGAATTGGAAATGAGCTGCAATGTCCTTTACAAGTATCGGGGATTAACGTGTAATCCCCAAGCCAATTGATAAGCTTAGTGATTATGACAAAACTCCCTTTTAGGGGAAGATCATTAGTTCGATAGTGGATGATTGTGGTGATGTGTCATTAATACTACACTGGTCATCAAAAAAATCGACCCACCCACTTTTTGTTTAATATTTATCGATTGTTTCACAGATAAGCCGTTTCACACGTTTGTTTTTTGTTTTAAGGGTCGGATATGATGTTTGACATCTTGTTTGTCGTAAATCTTGTTGCTCTTGAAGGTACTTCACAATTTTTTTGCAGAAACACGTTAAGTGCTGAATTAACGGTTTTACGTCGGTACAAATTCGATCCGTTCTTTCAATTCCAAGCTGACTTTTGTAGGGATTTCTTGTTAATAACGATGAGTTTATTTACTGAGGGTGTAGTTTTGATTACTTTGTTTAAAAATAATGGACACTACTGAAGCTGAGGCGGCCCAAGTTGTGGCTTTGCTGCAACAAGGCTTAAGTCAACGTGTCGTGGCCAGAAGGTTAAATTTGAGCCGTTCTGCAGTGCGGCGAGTTTACCAAAGGTTTCTGGAGACAGGGCAGTATCGAAGAAGATCTGAATCTGGAAGACATAGGGTAACAAATCAAAGAGATGATCGCTTTATAGTGGTATCAGCCCTTCGAAATCGACATCTGTCTGGT